TAAGAAAAAGGGAAGAACATTTTGAAAAATGGGGACCAATCAAAGACAAATATAATGAAGAATGGGAATTCATTGAAACTTACTTTTCTTCAAAAGGAAAAGAAGTTAATATTGAAGAAGTCTTAACATTGAAATACCATGGGGAAGACATTGAAGATCAAATTCTAGATCTAGAACTTCCAGTTGAGGCTTACTTCAAAAATCAGAAACCCATACTTCAAATTATTCATGAATACGAATCCCAACATGAGAAAATATTCATGAACGTAACTCCTGAAAATCCAAATTAGAATCCTAACCAGAACCCTAGTGCTCCAATTAGATCCGAAATTGAAGAAAATTCTAGAGCTCCTAGATCATCTAGAATCTTCGGTTCTAGAACATACTAGTTAGGAGGAAGATATCCCATACCTCAAGCAACACTTGAGTATAGGGGAGAGAACAGAGAAAGGATACAATTTGGTAAAAGAATGGAGATTGACCCAAACCAGTTACCTGTTGCAAAACAGCAAGGGACTATTCTAGAATTACCAAGTTGGAATCCACAGCTTTGGGCAGAAATAATAGATCAATGGGAAAGAGATGCTTGCCGGGCATGGATCAATCGATCTATGGAAGGTGAGATGTTCGAATTCCTAGAAACACTTCTAGGCCCCACTGTAGAATTGTACTGGAATACCTTTAAAAGAGAGAACCCAACTTTAGTTGCTAAAACACAAGACTTGGGGGAAAATCCGTACAATTTTACCTCTTTAATCAAGAAGATGTTCTTAGGATCTGACGTGACTGTTGATTCCGAAAGAGCTTTACAAAATAAAGCTATTGAGGAACTTGAGGTCCTTCAGTTAACATCTTGGTATCAAATCGAGTCCTTTTACAATGATTTTCTTAAACTTGTTGCTAGAACGGGACAAGGATTTGATGACAACTTAAATAACAGAATCTTTGATAAGCTACCAAGCACCCTTGGTAAACAAATCAAAGAGAAATGGCTAGCTTCAAACCCTGCACCTCAACAAGGAGCAGGCCCTAGGATTTTGTTTATATATAAAATATTAAGAGAAAAATGTGTAGATATTCAAATCCAAAAATCTTTTAAAAAGCAAAAATTTGGTTTTTTTAAATCTGTAATTAAGGGACATGGTTCTTCAAAAGAATCATATAATAGGAGGAAAAAATACAAAAAATCCCAAAAGGAATACAAAAAGTCCAAAAAAGAATGTATTTCTTGCAAAACCAAACCCAAAAAATTCATATAAAAGAAAACATATTCTCTTAAGCCTAGTAAAACCTTCAAAAAAGGAAAAACGGGTAAAAAAGAGAAATATGTGAAAAAACCCAAAAATCCAAAGAAAGACAGGAAATGCTACATATGTGGAGATCCAG